AAGAAAGCATTCAATCATGTTTGGTGGAATTAGTACCTGATATTTTGGGAAGCCTTCCACCCAAAATCCACTTTACTTTATTATTTTGACATGACATGTTTGTTTGTGTGCATATCTGGTCTTAATAAAATGATGTAGCACTTAGGGATGAAGATGTATCCCAGCAGGCCCACACTGGAAGCCAAGGTGGAGAAGACCTGTTGGTAGTTTCATGTCAGTGCTCTGTTCCTGGGTGTCCATAGTGGGTTAATTAGCTTTCTCAAAAAGCCTGGGACTCACCCAGGTTTATAGGGTGAGTGGTCCTTTGCTTTGACAAACCAAAGGAATGCCCCAGGAAGAGTTCATGGCTTGGGCAACTGATCTTCCGCAGAGATCTTATGCCGTATCTCTCCTTGGTTTACCAAACTCAGCAAAAACAATACAAATGCGAAGCGTAGAAACAGACGTCTGCACCATCATTATTTGGAAAGTGTGGCAGAGTGTGGTAGACAGAGAGGTGGGGAGCTAGTTAGTTACTGTTACTAGTTAGTAGCAGAAAGTAAACCCTGGACTCCCCAAAGGTGTAGAGGGAACAGTTTCTATGAGCAGCCGAAGTTCAGGGCATCAGATTTCCCAAGGAACCTAGAGACACACAACTACCATTTTCTATTGTCCCTTAGTATGTTCAGAAAATCCCAATTAAAGCAATCCCCCCCATCCCCCAAATTGGTCCTGCGCTGAATAGTCTTGGTGGACCTCCTGGCCTAAATGGCCCTTCAAACTCCTGGGTTCCACCTCTAATGGAGCATGAGAAGAGAGGTGTTTTGGGTCACAGCTAAGCCACACTTCCTTCTTACCCTCATGGAAAGATGACCCACAGATGGTTTGTTGAGAACAGGAGTGCACAATGATGTCTTCAACCCATCGCAGTCTACACTAAAGGTTACTTCCACTTAACCTGTCTTGCTTCTTGTCAAAAGTAGTAAGTTCTGATCTCTGCTGAAATAAACTGTGCTTAGTGGTCTTTTCCCTGAACTGCTTTCCATTTTACAAAACATGTCACTGGTCGCTTGATGCCCGGGCATTTTTTTAACAGGTGCGACATTAGAATGGCGATGTGGTGGGCCTCCCTCCCTCCCCCTCTTCTAGCCAAAGTGACAGGAATCATAATACAACAACATTCCCCAGGAAAGGGAAGCTGTCCTTGTGGTACAGGCATGGATGGGGGGAGGCAAAGAAGAAGGGGGCTCTACCATCACAACATATCAAACAATAAAATCTCCTTTTCCCCCCTTATATTCCTTGATACTACGCGCTGGATTCCTGCCTTTGGGGGGGGGGGGACGAGTTTGATGTGTTTATTTATTTATTTATTCCAAGTATTTAAGTAGCCATCCAACTCAACCAGCATGACTCAGAGTTGTGTACATTAAAAATAAGCTTTAAACAAGAAAGATAAACCCTGTATCATTAAAAAAAATAATCTAGTTGTGCTAAATGGTGACCTGAACAGAAATGA